TTTGCTTTTAATTGTAAGGGACTGATTTATAGTTATTTATAAGGTTATTAATTTATTTAGAATTTTAAAATTACATGGTAAAAATTTCAAAATAATAATAATAATAATAATGATAATTAATTTATTGTTTGATAATTATGAATACAGAGAATTGGAGAAATAATAATTAACATTTATTGGATTTAATTTATCCAGAATCATCCACAAATGAAGAACAAAGGAAATCAAAAGTCAATCAAAATATTTCATAGTGAGAGAAGGAATTCTGCATAAGAAAAATAATCCTCAAAGACCCCTTTGGGTGGTGAAACCAAACAAAATAGAAATTATTTTACACAATTTACATGCCAATTTGTTGGTGGGACACTTTGGAATTGAAGCAACCTGTCATAGGATTGCTGAGAGATATTATTGGAATCAAATGTATAGTGATATAAGGGAATATGTTTGGGGGGACCCACTAAGCATGAATACTTACATCCTATTAAAGTCAGACAACCCTTTGAGAGACTAGGAATGGATATTGTTGGACCTTTACCTGAGACAAGGAAAGGAAACAAGTATATGGTTGTGGCAACTGAGTATTTGACTAAGTGGCCAGAAGCAAGGGCAATTCCTGATGCAAAAGTTGCTTTGGTGGTGCAATTCTTTTATGAAGACATTATAAGTTGTCATGGTTGTCCTAAAATATTGTTGACTAAAGCTCCTCGCAAGCTGGCTTGTGAGCCAAAAAACTTATTCAGCTTGCAAGCTGGCTTGTGAGCCTACTAAGTTATTTGGCTTGCAAGCTGGCTCATGTGGAGCCTTATTGTTGACAAACCAGGGAACACATTTTGTTAACCAAATATTGGATGAACTATGCAGAGCAATGGGAATAAAACATAAATTGTCATTGGCATTGGCATATCATCCACAAACAAATGGATTGGTTGAAAGATTTAATAGGATGCTTTGTGAAGCATTGGCCAAGTATGCACCACCTATAAAGAAGATTTGGATATATATTTACCTTCAGTACTATTTGCCTATAGAATGATGATAAATAGTACTATGAGGCATGAACCCTTTTATCTGACTTACAGAAGAGAAGCAATATTTCCAATTGAATTACAAATTCCTACTTACCTTACAGAAATTAGTAGTGAAGAACAAAAAGAAGAATTATTATTAAAATGAGCTTATGAACTCATTGGTAACTTGCCTGATAAAGAGTTGAAGCAGGAGAAAATATTTCAAGCTCACAAGAAAAACAAAAGAAATGGTATGACCAAAAAGTGTACCACATTTTGTTGTTAATTGTATTGCATGACTACATTTTGTTGTAAAAAGTTGCAATTATAGATAGGTGTCTAAATTTTTTCAGGCTTGCAAAAAATTTATTCCG